CATTTTTCTTCATACAATTATATTGAAATATAAAATCTAATTTTTAAATAATAAAAATAAAATTAATGCACTTGAACATTTGATTATAAAATTTACGAAATGAGAAAAATTACGCCATTTTTTTTTTCAGAATTATATTGAAATATAAATTTGTTATCATCAAATAAAGGTGAAATTCATTATTGATTTGTTTCGGAATCAAATATTTTCAATAATATAAATAAAATTTACGAGATGAGAAAGAGTTACGTCGTATTTCTTTGCACAATTAAATTTAAATGTGAGGTGAGGTAAAGGTGGGCCTCATTCTTGATTTGTTTTTTTTAATATCAAAAGCGGTTCTGCATCCAGCTGGTTTATAAATTTGGCGGAGGCTCCTTGACTTTGAATTACATTTCCATCAACATCATCCTTGATCCTTGCAAAGCTTTCTTCTGAAAAACCTGAAGAAGGGTTCATAACATGGAATCAAAATTGGTATTGGGGAATTCTCTGCTAGTGCCTTGTGTACAAGAGTTGGCTAAAGAGACCATGACCGTCCTCCCACCAAGGTACCTACTTCCTGACCTTTGAACAGACGACCGTTCCCTCCGATGGTTCGGAGATACCAGTTATCGACATGAAGAGCCTGCTTTGTGATGAATCCATGGATTCCGAATTAGCCAAGCTCGACTTTGCTTGCAAAGAATGGGGGTTCTTCCAGGTATATATGTGTGTGTATCTATATATATATATATATATATAAAAGTATGATTAATAGTATTGAATCATTTAGCTATATATAACCCAAAATTTAAGAGACATGGAAGTAAGGAGCCAACAAAATTACTTATAATCTACTTTTTGATTTGTTGAGAAATGATTGAATTATGTTTAAAGTTGTTTAATTTGGAAATCAACCGTATCTTTTAATTTCTAACATGTTTGAAAAAGTTAAAATGAGCAATTTGGCTTGTTCACAGTCTTACCTTATAATAATTTATTATTATAGTGTTTTAAAATGATTTTGAATTATTTAAAAAAATTTTATTATGCTTAATCAAATTTTTATATTTTTATTTTGAGTTAAATAGACTTTTATGACTATCGGTTGATTAATTATTATTAGTTAATATGCTACTGTTCTGCTTGAAGCTTATTTTATATTTATATAACATTGATATTAATTATTATTAGTTAATATGCTACTGTTTATTTTATATTTATATAACATTGACATGAAAAGTAAAACATATCGTGTATTTATTTTATCATGTCACATTAAAATATCATATTACTATTTATTATAACATGTTATGTGATCATCAAGTAATATAAAAATTTATTTAATAAAATATAAAAATTTAATTAAATATAATTAAAGAATTAAAATTTATTTAAATTTTTTTAAATAATTTAAAATTCTTGTAAAAGCATCATGCCTGATTTATTAAAAAAAATATTTTTATGCCTTTTTTTATAAATTTTTTAATTTTACAAAACTTTTTAATTATTTATGTCTCTATCCAAGGTCGGCTAATGCGTTTAATCATGAATCTAACTTTGTTGATAGAGTAATCAAATGTATAATATGCCAAAAAAAAAAAGTATTATTAATTTAGCTATTGCATTTTGAAGGAGACATTTTTAATCAATGGCACTTACAATTGGGCAAGGTTAGCTTCTATTTAATTACGTGTTCAATTTTTAAATCTTAAGAGTAATTCAATATTGTTGACACTTTAAGAATATTTGGATTTAAATAATTTCAGCCGAGTTATAAATACATCTATCACATATTATCTCTGATACATAATTATGTTTTTGTATATTATATATACTGTTTTATTATATTTGTTTTTTAATTGTTATTATTTTTTAATTATTTGATTATTAATAAGTGCATGTATTTGTTTATTTAAAAAACCTAAATTTCTTTTTTTTTCAATTTATAATTGATCGAAAAGAAAAATAGAGCAAAAAAAGATCATTGATTTTTATGTAATTCAAAGTAAATTTTTTTAATAATTTGGCCAAAAAAGGGTAATGCTAAAATTACTTTGTATTAGTTGGTAAATCATGGAGTGAGCTCTTCTCTGCTGGAGAAAACAAAGACTGAGATTCAAGACTTCTTCAACCTCCCAATGGAAGAGAAGCAAAAGTTTTGGCAATACCAAGGAGAAGTAGAAGGATTTGGGCAATCCTTTGTTGTATCTGAGGAGCAAAAGCTTGATTGGGGTGACCTTTTCTTCATGACCAGCCTCCCTCTCCATTTCAGAAAACCCCATTTATTCCCCAACCTCCCTCTTCCTTTGAGGTCCTTAATTATCCTCACTCTCTTCTCTTTATTAAATGCTTTTGGTCCGCATGGAAATGAGAAGAGTTTGATTCTGTTTTCTTTTTGTTTTTAAATGTAGAGATACACTGGATTCTTATTCATTGGAGTTGAAAGCTCTAGCCATGACTCTACTGACGAACATGGCCAAAGCTCTTGATATGAGAATTGAAGAAATGAATGAGATGTTTGAAGGAGGAATGCAATCATTTAGGATGAACTATTACCCTCCATGTCCTCAACCAGATCAGGCCATAGGCCTTAGACCCCATTCTGATGCTGTTGGTCTAACCATCTTGCTTCAGCTCAATCAAGTAGAGGGTCTCCAGATAAAGAAAGATGGCAGGTGGACTCCTGTTAAGCCCCTACCAGATGCCTTCATTGTCAATGTCGGAGACATTTTAGAGGTACTGCATCATCATCATCATCATCATCATCATCAGTACACTTCATAGAGGCATTTATCTCATGTAGCATTGTTATGAATTATGTTGCAGATGGTAACAAATGGAGCTTATCGTAGCATCGAGCATCGTGCAACAGTGAACTGTGAAAGAGAGAGACTCTCAATTGCTACATTTTGGAGCCCACGATATGATGGTGAAGTAGGTCCAGCACCAAGCTTGATTTCACCAGAGAAACCGCCATTGTTTAAAAAACTAAGGGTTGAAGAATACTTCAAGGGCTTATTTGCTCGTGAGCTCCAAGGGAAATCTTACCTTGATTCCATGAGAATATAGCATGGTTAATTATGGCCACAATCAATTGGCTCAATTGTCTGGCCATAGTTGGACTTGTACTTAATAATAATTGAATAATTGCATGGAGTTTCTTTGATGATAAACATTAATAATAATTGAATACTTTAACGACTTACAAATAATATAAACATGAATATTAATGTTTTTTTACACATTTATGTGATTGAACAATTTAACATTTTCCATGCAATTGAGGGTGTTTAAGCCTAAGGTAACATCCAATTAAGTTCTTCATTTCAATAATAATACTGTCGTGCTTGTAATCTTTTATTGTTTTGGTGATGATTGTTATGGAATTGTACATATGTATATAGTGAATTTCAATCATGAAATATTGGGGTTTAAGAATAATTATTCTAATGTCCGTTTTGGGTTAAATTTTACAATTAGTTATTGTACTTCATAAAATGATGAATTTAAGCTCCATATAATAATTTATAAAAATTAAATTTTTATACTTGTCAATATTGATAATATCAATTTAACTGTTAATGGTGTTAAAATTTTTTACATATTTAAATTAATCTAATGATGTGTTGATAATGACAATATGAAAATTTAATTTTTTTTTTTTATATATCTCACAATACTCTTTTCTTAAATTTTAAAATTTTATTCGTATTTTTATCTGTTTCTTTCTCCAATCTCGTCAAAAACTATTAACTTTTCATCAACAACACAAGGAAAATCCCAAATACTAACTTGTTAAGATCCAAATAAATTTTTTAAGTGTTTTCGGATGGTTTAAACTTTCTTTATAACAATCTCACACTAGACATGTACAATTCCAGATTATCACTTGCAAAATCCATGTCAGTGTTTAATCATATAATGTCCACATCATCAGATTCAATCTCACATCAATACCACCTAACATATAGATAACTGAGACATTTTAACATTATTAATAATTGAATTAACATTGTCAATTTTGAGAAAAATACTCAGACTCAATTTATTGTTGTTCATAGATTAAAGCCACCACTTTGACAGCACAAACTAATTGCATAATTTGACCTTTGTTTTACACAATCCTTGGTTGATTCCTCATACAAATGGGTAAAGCATATTTCAGTGATTGCAGATGAAAGAAAGAAAGAAAAACTTAGGGTAATGCTTGAGTTGGCAGTGCAGATTTTGAGTATGTGTAAAAAGGAAAACAAAGTGAAGATAACAAGAATCTAAAGCTGAACAGTTCTTAAGTCATGCCTCCAGCTAACATCATCATTCTGCCAAAAAAAAAAA